TTCTTGTTGTAGAACTGTATTTTGTGTCTTTTCTCCAAACCTTCTTGAACAAATGTCTTGTCATGCTCCTCCCCATGAAAACTCCATACTGAAAACGCTCCAAGGTCACGAGCTGTGTCCACTTCCGGATGTCCACGGCCGCTGCGGCGGGTAAGGAGAAGGCCAAAATGATCCTGGGGCGAGGCCCTTTCGCCGCGTGGGGCTGATCTGGAGGCCCTTTCTACAAAGAGGTGCGACAGGACTTGGTTTCTCTAAACAAACAGTAGTAACAGTAGTGAATTTGTTTTAAAGAGTGGTGGGTGTACTTGTGGGTCCTACATGTACTTGTGTATGAGAACAGTCTGTTGAGATCAGTTCAGCTACCCTACTGCAACATTAAAAACTCCTACCACTGGGATAGGATGGCTGCGGTATTTGGGTGTGTATCTAAATAGGGAGACCCCCTGACCCAATGGGCTTGGGTCGATTTCCCCCTTGGAATCAAACGGGAGGTCTCCCTATTCTAATAAAATCCATCTGTGTTTTTCGGCTTCAGCTGCCGCAGACTTTCAACCGTAGGCCGCCGTAGGTCAAACTTTCTTGGTTCAAAGTGGAACATGTTTCTTTCCGAATTAGCTGAATCATACGTCTCCATCAAGTCTAAAGTTCATCTGAATGGGATGGATTTGAAAGGACTCCCCCTACTCTGAAGTCCGCCGGGAGGTGGTGACTTGAGTGTACAGCAAGCTCCTGAACATGTAGCTGGACCCCCTCTCTCTCTCTATATATATATATAATACACATAATTTACATAATTACATATTTATATAAACCTTAATACACTTGCAAATAATTGATGTGTAATTGGTCAGGTCGATCCTTTAAAAAAAGTATACCTTACAAACAGGTTTGGGGCCAGCAATGGGTCATTCATCAGAACATGAACCCATTACATTTGATGAACAGCACCTGGGCACGATGACCAACCCCTTTTTGTGCTCAAACCCGACAAACTGTGCTTTCACCACTGAAAAACCGTCTCCGAATTGGCTGACCTTCTGCGCCAAGACTCCCAATCACCTCGCCATAGTAGCTGACCAGGGCCACCCAATGTCGCCGGTTGGGACCTGGACAGGTGGGCAACGTTGCCCGCGAGGCGCGGGGATCCCAAGGTCGAGTTTCCCCAAAAAACACGGTTGGGCGCAATAAAAGGCAGGGAGTGGTGAGCCAGCCTGTCAGATCCTGGTAGTATTTGGTAGGTAGTGGTACTAGTCACCTAGTCAACTAGTTTGTGGAGAGTTACCAAGCACTCAGCTACTAACGATCATTGCCAGTTACAGTGAGACTTGGGGTGCAAGGACTTGGGGTTCATGGACCCGTCATCCAGCTTCGAACCTTGGGTTTTTCCGGACGAGTTGTTCGGTCAGGAACTTGTAGTAGTAGTCGGTGAGAGCAACACTGGACATCGACTCAAGATGAAATGTTTGGATGCTTTTGCCTGGGTCAAGGGCCCCTGTACCATCTAATAGATGAGATCAACACTTACACTGATCCCCAAGTAGTGGTGATTCTCTGTACAAAACAGATGATACTACAGATGACTTTTTGCGGTAAATATTGTCAAAATCCAGTGGGCCCACAATTTCTGCTATTGACTGCAACCTAGTGTCCTTTAAAAGGAAACGCACGGCGGACACAAGGCGGAGTGAGTGGCTGAGCTTCAAGGAGAAACAGTTTCGGGAGCGGGGCTGACACTCAAGTGAGACAGCTGTGGTAGCAAGCAAAGTACATTCGAAGAAGTAGTGCAAATTTCACATTGGTGGCCGGTGCGGTGGAGCGTGGTCGCCCTTTATATAAAAGAACATTCTTTTCGTGGCGCTGGAGGGAGGTTGGGGGAAGGGCGTGTGCTTGGATGTTTCTGTGTGCTGCTGCTTCTGTCATGGTTTCTTGCTTCTCTCAATTTTGGCGGCGTTTGTTGGGGTTGGCTCACAACTCACTTGAGCACACAAAACTCACCTCACTTGCGCAAGCTATGTCGGCAGCGCGCCCCCACCTACTTGAAGCGTGCAAAAACTAACTCACTAGCGCACGCATGAACCACTTGCCCACGCTGCCACTCACTCGCGCACACAGACATGTTGCTACATTGGAGTGGCACCTTCTCCTTCTAAGTATTACCCTCGGATGGCTCACAAAGGGTCTGCAATGTTGGAACGGCACCTTCCTCTTCTAAAATTTACCATCGGGTGGCTCACAAAAGGTCAAAAGGTCTGCTACGTTGGAACGGCACCTTCCTCCTCGTGGCCCCTGCCTGATCTAAATTTTACCTAAAAGGGCTTACGAAAGGTCTGCTACTTTGGATTGGCCCCTTCCTCCTGTACATTATACCCTAAGCTGGCTCATCAAAGGTCTGTTATGTTGGAATGACATCTTCCTCCACTAAATGTCAAAAATCAGGTGGCTCACAAATGGGCGGCTTGCGTTGGAATGGTTCCTACCTCCTCTAAACTCTCCTCTAATTTTACCCTCAGCGAAAGGTCTGCGGAATGGCCTTGCTCAAATGGGCAGTTGGGTTGGAATGGCTCCTACCTCCTCTACATTCTACCCTTAGGTGGCTCACAAAAGGTCTGCTACCTTGGAATGACCCCTTCCTCCTCTACCTCCTCTGAATTTTGCCCTCGGGTGGAAGCAAAAGGTCTTCTACCTTGGAACGGCTCCTCACTCTCGCCTAAATGTTGGCTTTAATGCATCTTGTAAGCACCACATGTAAGCAGTGCTGTACTTCAATGTGTTTCTCCCGCCAACACCGCAAAACAACCATGACATACATATGCGCAAAGCGTATTGAAGCTTCTCTGTCTAATGTGCTTGTGTAGCCAAATAGTATATACGAGTGTGTGCAAGTTGCGCAGTAGTGCAGACCGAACAGCAACAGGTGCAGCACAGTAGACCAAACAGCAACAAACATCAACAGAAGCAATACGAGCAAAGCAACAAAAAACAAACGAGCCGAGTCAAAAAAACAAAACATCAAAAGCCAAGGTAAACACCAAAAGCCAAACAAAACAAAAGCACGCAAGCAGCAAAAGCAAAAAAGTCAGTAAAAGAAAAACAATGCAAACGCAAAAAAGCGGCAAAAGAAGAAAAGCAGCAAAAGCAGAAAAGCAGGAAAAGAAAAAAACTGCAAAGGCACAATCTGAAGGGAAAAAAAACAAAAAATAGCATCCGGAACAAATGAAACATTCCCTTAACAAAAGGCCCCTCCTCTATTAGAAAAGTATTAAACACGTTATGATGTGGGTCGCTTCACCACCTCTGAAAGAAGACTGTGTTGCAATTACAAACAAAATGGGAGACCCGCTTCCATGTTTGTAGAGAAGGTGGAACCCCCGCCCAGTTGTTTGATCGGTTTCTATAAGGTTTCTAAAATTCATCATCGTTAAAGTTGACTGGCTTGCGACCCTGGTGGCCCTGGTACTTCTAAAATCTCAGCTTCAACTGGCCTCAAGAACAAGTTCAGAGTGGACATGTTCTCCATGAATGATCTACACTCCCGACAACTAACTGGACCCTGAGAATGGCACCCTGAAAGACTGTCTTCCTCTACAAACAAGTGATGTTCAGGGTCCATGGGAGTGTTCAGCGGGGTTCTTGCTGGTCCTCTAATTACTGGATTCCACTGGTACGTCTGGTGTCTGGTACGTCTGGGGTTGTCCGCTCGATGCAGCAACTGCCAAGGGACAAAATGCAAGGTAACCCTGCACCTCGGAGAAGGTGAGATGCGCAACAAACCGTCTTTGATTCATCACAAGTATCCCAAGCAAACCATGGGACATGGGACTAATCTGTATATATTCACTTGGGGTGGTTGATTTTAGGTTGGAGGCCATCGCAATTAGGTTGGAGGCCATCGCAATGAGGAGCCAATGTAGCTCAATCTTCCAGTTGCATGGGAGTCTTTCGGGATGGTCCAACTGCCAAAGAACATCTGATTTGGCTGGTCATCCTATTTATTGTCAGCTTGGTAAGAGCCCACATCAATCCTGGTTCGGGAAGCCCAAACGGCCATTGTGCGCATCACCTCATCTCACACCAAAATGAGTTCAGATGCCATGAATGAGTTTATCTCCTTCATTCGAATGTCAGATCTCGAAGTACTTCATGGTGCGTCGCCTTGAAAGAACTCCTGAAAATTCAGGGAGATGGATTCCAGGCACGCCAGAAACGGGTCGATTCGCAAAACCTGTTGATTCGTTGGATTTATAATCCTCACGGTCGTCAGCCGCTGATCCGTTGAAAAACCATTGATCGATCGGACCTGCAAAAGCTAAGATTGCCCTGGACCCCACCAACCATCGGATTTCATAATTTGACTTCCTGAGGTTCCCTTAAACTTAAAATAGAGGTTAACCTTTTTCCACCTGTTTCAGTTTATTGGGCAAACCAACCCGCCCCCAGATAAAAGGTTATCCACTTTTACTGGGTAGAAATCGGAAGTGGAAAAGGCTGTTTGTCAGCGATCCGCGTTTTGCTTTTCGTTCGGAAGGGCTGTCACGTCGTGGGCCTGTTCCAATCGTGTCATGTTGACAGACCAAGGCCCTCCACAAGCACCGAGGAGCGCCTAACTCATCCCAACACCGGGAATGCCCAAGATTATCGAAATGTCAAAAGTTGAGCAGCCCACCAGCAGGTGGTTCAGTAGGAGGTATGGTTGCCCAAGCTTACAGCGATGAGTCAGCGATGATTCAAGTAGTTCTTGACTGAGTTCCAAGCAAATCCACATATTATAGCTTTCAAAGCTGGCATATGACAGCCAACAAAACCGCAGACGGGCCAGCCAAAAAGGAAACAGCGCGCAGCCAAAAGAACTTCCAAAATCACCAGAGCCTGTGAAACGAATCCTAACCTCGTGCACAACCTGATGTCGCCCCTGGCTTTGCGCTGCCGTGGCACTGTGACGAAGATGAGACCGGCAATCCATGCCTCAAGGACGAGGACCACCCGCAAGCGCTGGTACGTGGTCAAAGGTCCATACCTGCGAGTCATGTTTGCTTCGTTGGCTTCGTTCAAAGACCCAAAGTGGTGCCCACTTTTGGAGCCAAACTGGTGTATGAAATAGGCATTTAGATCTAATCTTTGCAGTTTTTGATCTTCTCCTTCTGAGTGAGTCGGCAATAGTCACTAGTCTGCACTATCATGGACTCCACTGTATATTCCTTTAGAAATTTTGGCAATTTTGGTGAAGTGGTCGTAATGCTCCACTAGCGTGGTGATTCTAGCTGCTCGTCCTTCAACACAAAATCATCCCTAAACATGGGATCTCAAAGGTATTTGTGGACCATTCTGGGAGAATCACTAAGTTTCCGTGTGAGTCCCGGGTAGGAACAGCATTGTATCCAAGAAAGCACCAAGTTGAATTCTGCTTTTGTTAAACGTCGGCTTACTGAAACATGCATAGCAGTCAGCAAGAAGCATTGATGAATTTGTTTGTTCAAACATGTTCAACATGGTGAATCCGATCTGTTGATCTCAGCTGGGATCCGTTGATCTGAGCCAACAACATGGATCCAACAGCCATCAAAAAGAAAACATTCGGGACTGGGAATCTTGGGTGGATTATATACAACAACTTCCCACTAGATCCCCTTGTTGACACTGGGAACGGCACTGCGATTTCAAACATCTTTCTACCTGCTCGTCCATCCCATCAGCACCCCGGGTCCATGCATGGTCCATGCATGGTTCCCCAACAACGCTCCTGGATCCTCAAACATCGAGTTTCAGCTCGAAACGAACTCCAAGATACACCGGATTCGAGGGCTCTGCTGACAAGAAATATCCTTCGGCGACGGCTTCGACCGGCTAAGACCGACTGAAGTTGCGAAGTGCAGCATTTGCTGTGCTGTGTCCCCCAAAAAGTTCGAGAAATCCCTCATCTGAGACATGCAAAACATAGTAAAATATAGTAACAATGATCAATAATAGTAGTAAAACATAATCTGTTTGTTTTTCACCATCGCCACCTGTAACTTTGTCATTGAGAAATGAATTTGTTCATGTTTGTTCTCATTTGTGACCAATTGTCGCGAACCAGTCCCCTGTACTCACGGCTGAACCAATCAAAGGGAGGAATGGTGGATGGTACAAAGTTGCGAGAAACAATAACTTTTTGAACAGTTAAACATGCAGCATGTTGACTGCCTGGCTGGCCGGCTGACTGATTTATTGACTGACTTGCTGACTGACTCACTGTGTTGCCGAAACATGTTGCCCGACATCTTGTCTCTTCGTACTTTGTGTCCCAAGTTTGGCACGTCAATTTTGCACATCTGAACATGAAAAGTTATGGTTCTTCTTGTCAATCTTGTCGTATGGTCAAGCACAGGCATGAGACACCGGATTGCGCCAGAACATCCTTGCTCAGTGCTCAGCATGAAGCCCCCGAAAGTTGTGGGTATGGCAGTGACAGGACCTGGATTCACACAAAGGAATGAAGGGTAGACTAAATCCATTCCTTCTATACGGATATTATATATTTTAACCTCGAACGGAGCCTCTTTTGATGGCTCCATTCTTGTTGCGGGAAAAGACTTGCAAACCAGTCTCTGAAAAGGCATTCTCTCCATATTCCAGCTGAATCGTCTCCATGACCATCAAGAAGAGCATTGAAAGAGGAGCTGTGACATTGTGGACCGCAGCCAGAACAATATTCCTTAAAAGACATGCTCTCTTTTTCCCGAATGCGTAACGAAGGGTTCTCGTTTAACTCTGGGGGTCTGGGGGTAGAGCCTTGTTCGCGACCCATTGTTTCTAAGGTCGCAGCCGCCCACAAGAGTGTCTGACAAGAGTGTCCCATAAGAGTGACCCACAAGAGTGTCCTACAAGAGTGTCCCGTAAGAGTGTCCGACAAAAGTGCCCCGTAAGAGTGACTCACAAGAGTATCCTACAAGAGTGTCCCACAAGAGTGTCCTACGAGAGTGTCCCGCAAGAGTGTCCTACAAGAGTGTCCAAAACAGTGCCCCGCAAGAGCTTCCTACAAGAGTGACCCACAAGAGTGTCCTACAAGAGTGTCATTTGGGCATATGGAACGTGTTTGCATTCGGGTTCGTGGGTTCCATCTTGTTGTTTCTCTCTCTCTCTCTCATCTCTCTCCCCCCTCTCTCTGAATCAAGGGACCAATCCAAATCTCAAATGGCCACATGAGTATAGAACAAACAACAAGCAAAAACAGAAACGGCAACGAAGAGCTTCAGATCCTCTTATGATCTCTTGTACTACTAGTATACAGTTTATATATATATATATGTATGTATATATATATATATCCCCAGATGATCACCTCCCAAAGATCGATGCTCCGAATCTAAGAGCTGAAAGGAGCTGAAACTGTGTGATGAACTTGAATGGTTCCCTGGAGCCAACGTGGATGATTAAAGGAGAACTCCCAACGAGGTACTGGAAGAAGGGAAATAGGTCAGTCTACCCGGCCAGGGCCAGGGGGTCTCCCAGTCTCCCTATCAAAAAAACACTCAAGTGGCTCTGGGTCAAAACTGGGAGACCTTGGACCACCGAAAATGAACTGAATAGACTACCTGGGAGGTCTATTTCGGGCTCCCAGTTTGGACTCACCACGGCTCGATCCTGGACCTTCTGAAAAACTCCGCAGGCCGTGCCAAGCTGTGCCATGTGTGGCCACAAAGGCTTCAAGAAAGCACAAGTGGAAGCACCTCTCGTCTGATGTCATTGATACTTGGATGTGACATCCCCTGCCCAGAATTCCACCCTCACTATGTTGGAGTGATTTCCTCCAAGCTTCACTAGTAAGTGGGCAAATGTCATCCAATGTTACAGCCTCTGGTCTCGGGGATTGGGCCCCTCCAACAACTCTTGGGTCCGGCCCCCGTCGGGTTGCATATCCAACATGTTTAGCATCCAAGAGACAAATCGGTAGCATCGGAGAGGCTTGGGACCATCGCTGCCAGCACAAAGCCTAGCTGTGAGAATCAAAACCCTAGCTAGGAGCGTCCAATGAGTCTTTGGCAAAAAGTAAATTCGCCATGTCCTGAGCATTCCAAGACTGACCAAAGGTGACCCTTGTGTAGTGCAGAAACAAGATGAAACAAGCATGATGTCCTTTCTGGAATACTTATAGAACCACAAAAAAAGAAAAACAAAAACTTCTGAGACCCCTAAGGCTGCAAGAAAAAAACAGATCGACGAAAAACCAGGGAGTCCGGTCAGCAGGGGGGAACCAACGGGGTGTCTAGCTGTTCCAAAAGAGATGCTGAAGTTCGAGAGCCCTTTTGGATCCTTTTGGGGTGAATTCCTAATATCCGGGTGTTCATTCTGTCGCAGTACACGGGGTCAAGTCACCCAGGCTGTTGGATTGACTAATTTCGAAGTACTTCATATATAGCAGGACCCTCCAGAAGGTCATTCCTGGTGACAGCAGGTGCACAGAAACCACCTGTGGTTGAATCCCAAGACAGCCTGTAGGGTCCTGATATGATCTTATGATCAGACTATGTTACTATACTTTTTCTCTGATCTTCTATAGCCTAGGCTTCCAACCACCATTGATTTGATGGTTTTTACTGAACGACCATTGTTTTAATAAGGATTTACACTCAGAAGCTGGGTCACCCTCTATTTTACAAGGTCTGTATTTATGTTATTTACACAGACTCACTGTTCACCTCGGAATTCTCCTTCCAAGGCACCCACATTGGGCACCAGGGCCCAGGCCGTTCGCGCGCGCCGCTCGGCGCGCTGCTCCAAGACGGAGGAGGCCAAGGGGTTGTGTTCGAAATCCACCTGCGGCCACCTGGGAGTTGCTGTCCAGGAACCTGAAAAAAACAACACAAACAAGTTGGGGATTGCCATAGGGAACATCAAATCAAAATCAACCTAAACGTAAGCGAGCCACCAGGGACGATAGATCCAAAAGGTGTACCTCGCCGGAAGCGCCGGGTGCTGTTGCGCCGGGACGAACGGCACGTGAACTCGGGTCGAAAAATGGGTCGGTGCATCCGCTGGAACCGTTTGTTCAGGTCTGCTGAACTCCCGGACCTCAGAGAATTGGTAAGCCGCGCCCCCAATTGTGCGACCAAAAAGCTGTCTTGATCCTTTCTGGACCCAACAGCTGTTGTTTTTCTATATGTGGTGTCTTAAATGGTCAAATTAAAAATGTCAACAAAAATCCCCAGAATGTTTCTGTGAAACTCGTTTCTATTATAATGCAGACGCCTAAGGTGGAAGAAATTAGTTGTCAGAATCTTCTAATTGAAAGTATGCCCGTTTTGAACACCCGACCGGTTCAAATAGAAGATGGCCCACAAACCCGGGCAAAACAAATAGAAGATACATGAAGATACTATTTGGGACAGCCGCGGCTATTTCCATCCCTGTGCGGCCCTTCGTGTCCTCCATGTCCTGGTCCTTCCCTCTCACCTTTTTCCTTTCCCTCTCCTCTCCCTTTCTTCCTTTTCCTATCCCTCTCCTCTCCCTTTCCTCTTTTTCCTAGAAAACATGTAAACAGAAGTATTCCGATGTTTTTCTGTTCAACAGGCATTCACTATCTCTTTGGCGTTCTTTTGAGGATAGGATCATCTGTTTCCTTGATGACTGGGCAGTCCGGCCATGGATGACGTCGTCTCAAGCTTCTCTACTGAAGAGGGTACCGGCGAGCCAAACAAAACAGAAGCACTGTTGCTCCAGCAGTTCCACTGACTGGTGCGACAAGTGCATGGAATTAAGGTGGCTGGATCCAGTCCGGAATCTATGTTGGGGCAAAGCTTCCCTCATTCATTACTAATAGCACCAGTCAGAATAAGTCATTCTGGTTTCTGTTTGGATGTTGTTAGTCAGTAGTTGACAATGGGCACCCTTACAAGTGCCCTCCAATCTGCACCCTGATATGGAAATGGTGATCAATACATGAAAATTGCATACAATTGATTTCTTGGAGCCCGGTGGAACAGATTTGCCCAAAATGACCCTCACAAACGTCAAACTACCCTGGCTGTTGATACCCTTCAAAGAATTAATGCATCTATCTACCCTCGTAAAAGTGACTCAAATACCAAAAAGACAGAGATCCATCCCTGCGTGAGCCCAACACTCATCACACACACAAGCAAACCTTATCCACCCAAAGTACATACACTTCCACCCCCAGTACATCCACCGCTCCAACCGCGCTACATGGAGGCTGTGAGAAGAATGGAGGCCAGCGCTAAAGATGTGGTCCACAAACGGCCCTGGGGATCGTTCACCGACTGCGCCATGTTTGAGATGGTCCCCTTCTGCCGGAAGTCCTGGCGGAGCGAGAAATCGGGATGGGTGTTGGCGATGGCTGACATGTGCAGTCCACTTGGGTCCCAAGTCCTGGTGCCAATGCATTGATAGAACCTAAAATGAAACGCACATCTACAGAGCCAATAGGAAAACTAGAATCAATATCATTCATGTCTTTTCCAAAAGGCCTATTTCGTGACATATTGGATACATGTCGATCTGACAATATCAGGAATGATTGGCCTTGACCGGTCTGATCCCCGTTTAGCAGCGTTTACCGTCTCAGTAAGACTATCGGGGTCGTCTGCCCTGACAGCCGAGTTTGCCCTGATGCCGGCCGGGTGTCGGGTGTCCAGACGGTCCAAACGGTGACGGTCCACAGGTCGAAGCTGTTAACAGACCGGTCTGTCACACGAAACGACCAACGCTGGAAGTGGATGGCATGCCCCTACCAGCGGACTGGTCTTTAGTGCGCCTAAAGGTGAAATGGATGCTCTGGACAGTCATACCCTTCAATAGGCACCCCTTTGGAACTCCTGATGGAACGGCATTGTTCAATACCAAAGAGCCTTGTCCCACTGCGTCATGGTGCCACTGGCGGGGTCTTTTGGGGGCCGGGCGGGGCATGCGAAGAACAGCATCTTGGTAGATTGGTGCTAACTGCTACTGGTTCCCGCCCCTAGTAGTAAGGCCAGGAGCCACTAGTATAGCTTCTTGTTCCTAGTAGTAAGGCCAGGAGCCCCTTGAATAATCTTGAGCACTTCCTGAAATCATCATGGCACCACCTGTGTACAGGAAAATGGTCATCCAAGTGGCCATGGCATCCACCTAACCATGATTGTGTCATGTCTATATAGGTCTCCCTTTTCGTTCCGAGCACTTGGTGCAAATGGGTTTCCTGAAAAACATGCACGCGACCTCTGAGCGCTCCTCACTTCCCCATCTCCCGTCACCACAGCAACCCGCCGTTCCCGCATCCATTTCCCAGTGGATCCCAGGGTCAAGAACCAGCTGAGCCGCCTTAACCACTCAGTGGTTACCCAATCTGTGCTTAACCAGTGCTTAACCAGCCGTCTTAACCGCTTCACCGGTCTTGACCAGCGCTGGACAGCTCTACCTTTTGCGCCTGTCCACCGAACGCTTTTCCTCTCCGTCTCCGGTCCTTGGGAGCTTTATCCCAATCGCTGGTGGCGATGTAGGTGGAGGTCAAAGTTCCACAGAAGACCAATCCTCAGAGATGAGGCAGCACCAAAAACCTCGGGATTCGCCTCAAAAACCGAGGTTAGAACAACTGTAGATTCCTCAGTTGTATACATAGTTGTTGTATGTTTCTGTTGAGCCTGCGGTCACTCACCCCTGAAGGCCAGGGTAGTCCAAAACCAAACATGGTCTTTGAATGTGTTTGAACGATTTGGACCGGGGATCCACGCATCCATCCCGGATGGTTTGGGACTTCGGGGCCTACGGACCAGGCCTGTCTCGGTCCGAACTGTCCACCTACTGGCATTGGAGTTCCCCCCCAAAAGGATCCCAACAGGTTTCATCCAGTTTCGAAGTGATCCGCCTACCTGTTCCGACCCAGCCTTTTTAGGCGCTTCCATTTGGGGGTGTCCTAACAGAGAAGTCCAGCGAGGTGACGCCTTGGAAGCAGCAGAAGCAGGACTTCTAATGACTGAACTACCTCACCGACACGACTCCGTCATCTTGTCCCACCAGGATCCATGAGGGCAACATGTGGTGGAGGGGCGGTTTACCATTTAGAAGTGGACATTACATCATCTCGTTCTAAACCCCTAGCCTCAGTGAAGTTCAACACCATTCAATCATCTATTCTCCTTAGACAGACTGGACCAAGTCGAATGCTGAAACGTTCGACAGCGAACGTAAGACTGAAACCCTCTGATCTGTCAGGATTCCGAACGAGATATCCACCAAGATAGATGCTTGCAATCTCATCTGCCGACCATAGCCGATCATGAAAGCCTCACATCTGAGGTGGAAAACAAAATTTGATTCCACTCTTGGGGCCAGTGCAGACTGGGCCATAGGAAAACGTTCTGCACATTGGCATGGGTTTCGGGTCTTCTTGGAGGGAATGCTCCCTTTCACGGATGATCGGTGAGTTTCAGATGCTCCCTGTCCAAATATCCAGTTTGATCGAAGGCTGCGACCACAGAGATCCGGAACACGAAGAATCCGTGTGCGACCCAAACGTCTCCAAAAGGATGACTGAAGACTACCTCACCACGTCTCCAGCTTCGGAGCCTCTCCCCGGTTTTCACGGCGCACGACCTGCGTTTTCACGGCGACCTGCGACGTGTGGGTCATGCGGTGTCAGGCCACCAAGGTGGCATCGGCCACGGGGTTTCGCGTGCCCTCAGGCGGCAAATTCGCGAGCTTCTTGTTCTGCCACAACTGCGAGGCCGTGACTGCTTGATCACTTTGGACTCTGAGGACCACGAGTAGCACAGGGCCCAGGATGATGCCAACCTGGGTCGGAGAAGAGTCTCTGCAGGGAAAATATAGATTAAATACATTTAAATACGCTATATATTGACATAGACTGCTGACACCGAATGGGACAGTGGCCCCCTCACCCGTGGTGAAGCTCATCTTCAAGTGGGAGCAGCTTTGTATGCATCTTGACTGGAAGAGTGCTATTAGTTTGGAGGCCATCGCTTCTAGGTTGGCGGCCATTCCTACCACCTCGAGTCTCGAGTTAACACCCAGGTGCTTTGGACCTAGAAGGGTCAAGCTAAGAACTACCTCTCAGGAGCTGGAAAAAGGATTCAATCAATGGACTGACTACCAAAACTACACTACTAGACTGAGCTTTTGTTGGACATCTACATAGGAAAGTCCAGGGCTGGAGTCGCTCTTCGCTACAGTAATTGTTTTTTCTTTGCAGCCATGACCCTTTCACCGACACCCGCCCTCCAGTCGATGCAAATTGATGCATGTCTACACAGTTCAGTAAGTTAAGGGGATTTTAAAAACGCATGCACCCAGAAAAAAAAAAAAGTCTACACCTTCAAAAAGGGAAACGCCGCTCAACAGTGAATCAACCATCTCAAATCAGATCGTTAAGGAATCCGCCGGCCACAGGCGGATTAAGACGTCACCACTCTGCCACTCTGACCGCTTCCTTGGCACAGTGAGCACCAGAAGCCAAACCTGAGAGAACTTCTTGCACCGCCTCCGCGTCCGGAACGGCAGTTCATGGGGCCCATCGAAAGCCATTCGGTGAAGAACGCAGAAAGGATCGAAGAGGCTAAGTCAATACAGTTGGTTATGAAGAAAAACAGAAAAGCACCATAAACATTGTCTTACTTTGACGTGTAGTATTTCATCCTTCATCTGTTTTAAACAGCGTGTGTGAAACGACACACACGGCACCGAATAGAAAAACAAAAAGGAATGCATCGATGGATGCCTGTCGCAATGGCTTTCCAACGGCTCGTCTTCCTCCGTCGCATCGGAGTAGGAGACGTCCTACGACGACTGACCGACGGAGATCTCCGTCGGAGAGAGTCGATGACAAATCCAACGGTGCAATTCACGGTGAAGAACTCGGTGTTCGTCATTATGAGCCATTGCAATCATGAACCTACACTGGCCTATTTATACACGATATTTATCGTTATATATACAGTATCATATCCCAGAGGCTCATGAGCCCTGAAACTGCTACATGTTTGAGGTCCAAAACCGCCAAAACCCTAGTTGTGAGGCTTTGACCAAAAGAGGTTTTTCATGGTTTTTCTATGGTTGGGTTTGTCGGGCAGGTTGATCGGTCAACGTCACCGAGCGCTCCTTTCGGGTAATTTTTTCCGAGTGCATGGCTCAAATGATGATCCCTCCCAGGCCTGGAGAGGTTTCAGATGGTTTTACCATCCATGTCTGGGCGGGTTTTATTCTATTTCAGATAGGAAACAGCCAACTAGATACACCTTTTTCTTGAGCCATAGTCACGCGGTTAGGTACAAGTGTATGTACATGACTAGTGAAAAATACCCCGCGGCGCGGCCAGATCACTGGCTGCACCGGAGAGGCAGAGAAGGCAGCCGCGATTGACCTGAGAGCAGGCTGCAACACTATGTACAATGCACTGGACCTACGAATGCGTGGTTGTAGTGGAGAAAGTTGCAAGTAAGGCTCGGCTCTTTTTATGCTCAAAGCGGATTGCTGCAAAAGGCAAAATACACGGCTTAGGTTTCCACCCAGCATCACAGGAACATTACCACTCCAAACAAGATGCCATAGGTGCCATATACCGTGAATTAATATTGACAAAATGAATGCACAAGGCGTGCCAGCCAAAATGGACACGGCAAACCTTCCGGTTCGCAACGCTGTTGAAACAGTTAGCCAAAATGTGGGAAGACGGCTAACGTTCCCGTTAGCGTAGCGAACTTGAAATCCATTTACTTCACATGCCAACATGAGAAAGAAAGCATTCCGGCTAACGTTCCCGTTAGCATGGAAGTCACACACACACTAGCGGCCAAAAGGATCTAAGGGTCCCATTCCCAGTACCATCCCCGGGAGGCGGTCCACTTCCATGAAAAGCTCCAAGATCCGGACCACTCACGATCACCATAGTACACCCGCTCCTGCGCAGGCTTCCCTTTGCCCTTCTCCTTGCCACGCCCCTTGTATGGCTCGGACTTGTACTGCCCCTTCTGCGGCTCATACTTGCTCTTGCCCTTCGGCTGCTGATCACTCTTGCCCTTGCCCTTGGCCTTGGCTGCGCCTTTCATTGCAATGTCCTGAGCAATGGTGCGCTCTGGTGGCCCGACAACGGCGTCCGAAGAACTTCCGGCTGCTCCCTTTCCCTCCGTGGGTTTTGGCGCCACTCGCCACTGGTGGGCTGCCGGCGCCCAAGGGCGTGGGCGATCGGATTTGCCCTTGCCCTTCCCCTTCCGGGATTGGGTCCTCTGCTGGAGTGGTAGGTAGGGCAATCGATTTTGTAATGCGGCCCCCC